GCGAGTCCCCTCGGGTTGGCTGTTTTCGGCCGTTTTCGGCCGAATTCGGCCACGCTCGCATTGGTCCTTGTCAAAAAACAACCCTAGGGCCCTCGGGGGGCCAAAAAATCACGGAAAAACGGAGCTTACCGGCGGCGGCGCTCTCGGGTGCAGCGGCTCTCCGGCGAGGTTCGTGTTTTGGTGATTCGGCTCCAGTCAACCTGTAAAGAAAAGAATGGTGATCACGGTGATATAAAAATTGCATCGAACGGAGGCCGGGAAGGGCCTCGTCGGAAGCAAAAACCGAAAGGGGGCGCGGCGGCGCCGCTGGGCTTCGGTCGCGTATTCCGGCCGTTTGGCCGGGATTTCGGCCTCGATTTGGCCATAGGAGGAATCAGCGGGGAAAAACGAGTCGGGGGTATGAAATTTACCTCGATCGGCGGTCGGAAATTTCCCCGGTGCGGCGGCGAGTGGCGGCGGGTGGCGGCGGTCGGCCTCTGGTTCGTCTTCTCCGGCGAGCGGCTGGCGGCTAGGGTTTTTGGTCTGGTGTGGAGGTTCTATTTATAACCCCTTGCCTTTTGATCACAGCCGTTCATTTCGTTTTAAATCTGGGCCGTTCGTTTTTGATTGAATCTGGGCCGTCCGTGCGTTTGAATCTGGGCCGTCCGATCGCGTGATTGTTCTGGGCCGTCGGATCGCACCCACGCGGATCGCCAACGTGGCTCCTTTCGGAGTGACGCGATCTTGCCACGTGGCAGGCCCTGGTTGGCCGGGACTGCTGACGTGGCTGCTGACGTGGCCCCCTCCCCCTTTTTTTTTTTTTTTTTTTTTTTTTTTCTCCTCCTTTCCGGGTGCTACATACCCAAATTAAATAATTAAAATATAAACATTAAAAAGAAATAAAATAAATTTAAATCAAAATCAACACTAAAAATAAGGCTAAAATAACCCATCAGCTATTTGATTTTTTTAAAAAAATCTAAATCTATGTTCTTTTTTTTTTTTTATCTGTTTTAACTATCCCCTTTTAATTCTTTACTACATCCGCATTCAACATATAATTTGGAGACCCTTAAATCAAAGACACTTGGTTGATAATGGTTTAAAATTATGATATGCAAGAGATAATAAACATATAATGTGACAATCACGTGATATTATGAAACTCAAAATTTCATTTGTCTTCCTGAATTTCAGTTCTTCCTTTGAACCCCCTTCATCATTCAATCCTTAATTTCAAAAAAATCAAGAATTCTTATTTCAAAATTATTAAAAAGTTATTTGAAGTTAATTTGAACTTGAATGACAGAAGAATGAGATAATGAGGAGATGATTTCAAAATTAGGGGTTTAAATTTTTTTAAATTAAAGCTTAAAGAGAGTAGAAAGAAGAAAAGAATAAATATAACGAATGAATATTTAAGATAAAAATTTTAAATTTTATAAATTAACATGACTATCATGTTATATAGTATGTTGTCAATCAGATGTCAAATTTTTAATATCATCTGACAATGTCTTCTGAATTTAATACTCTCTAAATAATAATTAATATTGAAAATAAATTTGATATAAATTTGAAAATATAAAATTAAAAAAGAATAAAAAAAATACATGAGCTTGAATGAAAAAAAAAATGAATTAATACAAAAGCTGTTAGAGTTTTTTTTTTTTCTTAAAATAAATTATTATAAAAAGGGGTTAAAAATGACATTTGGCTTTTTGCAAATCAGTAATTTGCAATTCTTCGGTAATTGCGGCAAAGAGGATCTTTCTCAAAAACATAAAAAATCTCTGTAATTAATAAGAATCTTTACTCAAAAACCTGCAGATTTCCAATAAAAAAAAACATTCTTGTAAATTGGAAGGGCAAATTAGTAAATTCCTCCTGTAATTTAGTAAAATACGGTACAGGTCAACTACACCTGTGTTTTTCCTTTTTCTTTTTTAATTTCTTTTACTCCCTCTCTACTGTTTTGACAGTTTCTAGCATCAAAAGCAACCAAAAAGAAAACAAAAGTGAACCAGAAGCCAAACGTTTCAGGGAAGGCGAGAGATCTAACCAGACATGGGTTAAGAGAGAGAGAGAACTACACAGCAGCTGAATTTTGTTTTATCGCAGCTGCTGATAAACACATCTCTGATTGCGTGCTTCTTTCTTTTCCTCTCTCCCGGCGGTAGTCTTCTAAACTCTGTTTGTTCTTCATCATCCTTTTCCATGCTTTTTTTTTTCTTTTTTTTTTGTGATCTTTTTCTTTACCATTTCTTCTTACTTGCGGACTTCAATTATAATTTTTGATCCATTAAGCTGTATAATCTATCAATTGTTTTTCACTGTTTAAATCTCTGTTCCTCACTTGACATTATAATTGGCGATCATACAGTTCTGACTATACGCTTGTGAATTCTTTGTTTCCTTGGATCAAGCATGAGATTGTCTAGTGTGCTGATCGAATTCTCATTATCTAAAAGCTTCTACCTATGTGATTTCTCTTTGATCAGGAAATTGTTGCACAATTTGAAAATAGCGGAGTAAACTTTTTTTCTACTCTACTTTGGGATTTATTTTTATTTGATCAGGTAATTTTGATCATCTGTGTTCATCTTCGGAGATCTAATGCTCAATCTTAATGAGTTCATTTCCGTAATTGCTTCTTGTTTGTTGGTATCAATGACGCAGGCTATAAGTAACGAGAGACAGGCGGCTTTTATATTATCTACCACTACAGAATTGGTTATTTATTTATTCTGTAGTGGTATCCACTGGTTTTGGTTGTGATTCAATAGCGAGAATTGGCTACTATTTGAAATTCGTGATTAGAGTTGAAAGTTAGTGGTGATTTTTGCTGGAGTTATGGCTGCGCAAGCCGATTCTAAACGGAAATATTCTTGGTGGTGGGATAGCCACATAAGCCCCAAGAATTCAAAATGGCTTCAGGAGAATCTTACAGGTATTGTGCATTCTATTACATGGCTACAGTGTGAGTTGATTGTTTCACATGGTTAATTTGGCACTTCATGAGTTGGCGCAGCTACCTGCGGGAATCTCATCTAATATGAGTTCATAGATATTGCATCATAATTTTCAGTGATTAACTTAAAGCGTTAGAAATGAGTTTCTGGTAGTTGAATGTAAATATAAGTGCTGAAAATTTTTCTCAAATTTGTACTGGGTGAGGTGTCCCATGTTATCCTCAATTTACACTTGCTGTAAACTTTGAATGATTGTTGACATATGTAATTTCTGAATCTAACTTGGG